GACATATCTAAAGGTTTTAGATATATCTGATTTTCTATTACTATATTACTATTTTGATTTAATTTTTTTCATTTTTCAAGGCCTGACTTTTCTCAACTCACCCATTTTGATTATCTTGTACATAGATTAATAATTATTGTTCCTGTTTTAATTTTTCTTTCTTTCTTGGACTTGTTTGTGTTACTGTTATTTTTTGTTATCACATACAGATAGTATGTGTACAAGTACAGGTAGTTTTTGCTTAAAGACTGCCCTGTTTAGCAACCATTCAAAGTTACAATAGTGCTGAAAAAAGTAACTTTATGAATGGTCCTTGCCAGTGCTTTTTTTGTAAAAAAAAAAAAAAAAAAAGTGCCGGAATTCACACACGTCATACAACCTGCCTTGCCTATCCTACAAGGTTCCATCCAAAAAATGTGCTGGAACTCCATTCTGGGCGTTCTATGACAAAAAAAGCTCTGGTCCTTGCACTTACGGCCATTGCAGCAGGTGATCGAGATTCAGGCCTTTGCAACTGGTAAGCGTTTAAGACTTTCAGTGATCCACAGTCATGTGATTGCCATTTGCATGCTTCACAGCTGGTTTCTATCAGTCAGTGGACAAGCTGCACTAACATCACAAGTCATGATCATATGAATCCTTGCTTAACAACCACATCATTTAGCAATAGACTTGTCATTAAGCAACAATAGCCTTGAAGGACAGGAAGAAAAGCAATGTTCAGACAATTGTGGCTCAAGTCCACTCCCAAGAAACTAATTGGAGAAAAGCGCCTCCCTAGTTCACATGGAGATTAAAGTGAGAGGGGCGTGAAAGCACATTCTGACTTGCAAGATTCTGTCATTATAGACGTTCATTAAAAATAGCTTTAGACATTTATGGCATTGGTTTCTTAGTCTGGTCTACTTTATACGACTAACAGTAACTGAGAATTCTAGACATGGTGTCAGAAAGCTAAAGCCGCAGTGAACTGAGGTTGCAAAGAAAGCCAAAGAACAAATATGTTCAGTCTAACGGGAAATTAAAAATACCAAAATTTCAGATGGTTAATAAAGATGGCAAAACTAACAGGGAAAAGAGAAAGCTACTCAATTCTTTAATTGTTTCATTTTCTGCAACAAGAAATATATTTCACTTGGCCTCAGTGAAGAATAGGATGAATGGGCAGGATTGAACTTCGAGCTTCCTATTACCTGACTTTATTTTTACATTTGAACAAGTTCACATCGCTAGAATAGCTTGAATTATGTTCGATAGGGAATTAAAACAATTTGCTGATGTTTGTTTGAACATCTACTTATCCCGTAGAATGCCTAATATAACTGATGACTAAAGGAGAGACAATGTGCATATCTTCAAAACGCTGAAGAAGAGAATCTGGGAAAGTGTAGGCCAGTTTGACCAGTCAATTTCTAGAAAGTTTTTTAAAGCAAATTATAAAAAAGGCAGTGTGTAAACATCTTTAAAAGTGTGATAATTACCAAACATTAATATGGATTTCTGAAGAGTAAATCTTGCCAGATTAACCTTATCTTAACAACAACAACAATAATAAACATCCAGATCTGCCTATCCCAGGTCCTTGGCAAGGATTCGATAGATAAAAATGCCAAATCCAATCTGAACATCTGGCTGACTGTGCGATGATCAATAATAATAATGATAATAATTTTCTTGGTAGGTTATAAAAATGCTATATAGAGGGCTTCCAGTTTTGTGCAGTTAACACAGCAGTTGAGGGATCGCGGGGCTCCACGCCCTATGGCTGATTTTTCTGTTTGGGGACCCTAAATGGGCCTAAAGCCACCCCGGAGAGGTGGCAAGGAAGGAGGGAAGCCCCGACAATCATGGGGAGATGGCAGTTGATCCAGATATCCGGGGAAAGCCCTCCAGAAACTGACAGAAGAAAGTCTAGCTTTATTCGTGAGTCTAGCCCAAGCTACATGCAGCTGAAGCCAAAAAGCACTAAACTAAGCGTGATCATAAACAGCGTGATTGAACTGACTAAGAATATTGATTCTCTCTCTCCTATCTGACTGATTCCCTGGAAAAAGAAAAAAGAAAAAAACCCAGAAGTAAAAATCTTCCAAAAGTGAGGGGGAGTTGCTCCACCTCTCTCTAAACGGAAGTGCTGAATTAAATTTATGGGGAATAAAGATACAGAACTAAAATTAATATAAGATTTCAACGTGGAAAATGTGAAATTGATGGAATTTATTAAGCGTTTCCTGGCAAAAGATTGACGGAGCTAAAAGGCTTATCTGTTTTGAAAATTGAAAGATGAACTGGTGCTGACATCTAGTGGTGGATGGAAATACTGACCTAAATATACAGCCCAGAAAAAAAAACCCTGATATTGTGACCTTTGAAGCCTTAACTAAACAGAGAACAGCTGTAATAATAATAAAAAAAGAGAACACTGTGGACTATCTACAAAGTGAGAACTATAAAACTTAGAAAAAAATTGACTATAAATATTTTTTAAACTGTGACTTTAAACCAGTGGTTCTCAACCTTTCTAATGCCGCGACCCCATAATACAGTTCCCCATGTTGTGGTGACCCCCAACCACTTATACATCACCGGGTGCCAGGGGCTTGGCCAAAGAAAAGGGGAAAAAAATGGCGGACAGCCTTGTTTGGCGACCCCTGTGAAATGGTCGTTCGACCCCAAATGGGGTCCCGACCCACAGGTTGAGAACCACTGCTTTAAAGCGATTGGCAGGGAAAGGATTTTTGGTTATTATGGAGCATCAGAGGTCTGCAGAAAGAACGTACCAAGAAAAAATAAATACTTCCCAGGAGGAAATGTATGTTATGTTACAACAATTACAAATGACACTAATTTGAAATGATGAGGAAATTAAAAATGAATTTGAAAACTTAAACAAATGCATTTTTAATTTAACGTCACAAGAAATAAATGATCAGAAAACAAAAAGAGAGAGAGATCATATAAAGCAGACAACTGAATATAAAATAGTGGAAAGAAATTTAGAAATGGAGACTCAAATGGAGAAGAACTTACAAGAAACACTGGACATGGAAAAAAAAATTCTAAGACCACAAAATAAATTTGAGGACAAGATGGATTGCAGAGCTGTTGGGAGTACCACAAGAAATGGGGAGACGAGATGATGAAAGAAATCTTCAATGAATATGAAGGGGCAAAATCTCTATACAAAGACATGATGTTTGATTCACTTCTTATATTTACAACAACATCTACAAGATTATGGAAAGACTCTTTGTTTCAATGGAATAGATTGATTGGGAAAGATGTTTGGCAAAAGGAGAGAATTAAGGAATTAAATGATGGAGCGTATCAGAGGGAATACTTAAAAATTAAACATTTGTTTGAATATGGTTGAAGAAATAGAAAGATTTTAGTTTAAGAGGGATGAATACACCAAGTAAGATAGTATTTTTTCTTTTTTTCTTTTTTTAGTTTGTTTTTTGATATGGGGAAATATAAAATATAAAGGAAATGTTTTAGATATTTAAATGTAATTGATCTTAAGAAAATGTTAATAGATAACTAAAAATGTTTTGAATAGAGTTAAAAGATTAGATGATTGGATTTATTAAATGGAACATCTGAAGATTAAACACAGGTTTAATTATGGGTAAAAAGAACAGAAAAAATGGAAATAAATGTATACTAGTTTAAGAGGGATATGTATTTTAAGTAGTATATTATTTTTATTTTTTTCTTCCTTTTTTCTCTTTTTTCTTCTCTTTTCTTTCTTTTTCTTTTTCTTTGGTGTCTTTTTTCATTTACTTTTTAAGATATGAAAATAGATTTAAAGGTAATTAATCTTGAGAAATTTTTAGCCAGTAAGAATGTTTTGAACATTGTAGGGAAAACAAAATATTGAATTAAGCTTATGATTTAGGCAAGAACCAGCATTTTGAGTTGACTCTAGAAACACAGTATTGGATTAGAATATATATAGAATCCTAATATTGGGTTAATCTACTCAGAACATCCAGCTAGTTGTTGGTGCTAACTTAGCAGCAGTTTAAACTTCTAGAAGTTTTTCAAAGATAGGTTATGTAGCATTTTCAATAGCAATCTATTTTGGTATTAGGCTTGCTTATAATAATAATAATTATAATGCACACTTGCATTTTGTGTGCAACTTAGCAGCTGCTAGACTGACTTGTAAAGTTATGGCAGAAAGTTATAAAAATAAAATTGTTCATGTATTGATATATCCAAACACATATATTTCAAAATATATACTTTATACGCCATTGAATTATAGATTAATGAAGCTACTTCTGCATGTTGTATAGAGACTACTATAATGTATCTATTCTAAAACACAATGTAGGCTAAAGTATAATCCTTCCTGGTCTTAGAATTCCCTTTGCTTTACTATGAGCATTTGTAATTTTTAAAAAATAGAGCATTCATTTATAAACTGGATTAAAATGTTTTCTTCACTTTTTACTTTTTTTAAATTTTTCTATAATACACTCTGAGATAGGTCCTCTTGAATATGTTTCCAAATGCTACAGAAATATATAAACAAATTTATTTGAGGGATTTATTGAAATACTGTGTTTACATTGGTATGATTTTACTGAACCCCAAAAGTATAGAAATATAATGGCAGTAAAATTGTATTTGCTTTCTTTTACTTCAAGCCTGTTTTACTTACTGTATAAGAGAAATGTTAGCATCAGTAAAATTTAGACCTTCCATTAATTGTTATAGCAATAAGTGTGATTCTATTACTGATAACCGTAAAAAGATTTGTAAACTATTTGGTATTTTAGTTAACAGGCTGCTCTTAAGAACACTTTAATTTGGTTGTGCTACATTAATGCTTGCACTCATTTACAAAAACATTTTTCTTCCACAGAGACTCACAGCTAGTACAAAATCCAGACAGCGAAGCAGGCTTTCTATAATGTCTCAGCACCTGTGCACTGTTCATAAAGGTTTTACAATTCCAGGTCAAGCTTTTGTTCCAAAGCCAGAGGTCAGTCTGTTCATTCTTTTTGCATTAAAAGCAGTGTTTGAAGCTTCACTCAGCTATTTCACAAAGCCGTTAGCATGCAGACTCAGACATATTCTAATTTCACGAGTATTCACGAAGGTTGTTGGATTAGCTCCAAAAATACTGAAGAAGGCATTTATAATTGGGATATAAATTTTCAGCGAAGATGAGTGAGAAAGATTTAAAGGCAGCGTTTGAAAGGAAGGCAAATTAACAAAAGAGAAAGAGTGACAGATGAGAAAATGTTCAGATAAATTCCAAGTACCCCAAAGATGTGTCAGAATTCTTCAGAAGTCTTAAGTAGTGGGAAGCCCTGAAGGGTTACCCCAAAGGAGCATCAAACTCTTAGTTAAATTATTTGTACAATCTGTAGGAAATCACACATTCGTGGCAACAATAAATGTTGACATACCTCTGGGAAATCGCTATTTTGGTTCGGTGTGACACTTTGTGGAGACAAGATTTCCTTAGAGGTGGCTGTGTCCTGATTTTGAGAATAACAACTCAAGTAAAATGCTATTCCAAAAAGAAATGTTTTCCTGAACCAGTTCCAAACCCCAGCCCTATTCTATTCCTTCTAATATCCAACATAGAGATAGTGATTATTTGTCTGTAATGCTACATATGTCTCCTGTTTATTGCTGCCATATTGTGGTTTAGAAATTGCTGATGATAATTGTTTTCCTCTTTTGTATAAACCATAATTTGTTTATGCCATGGTTTAATTAATAAATGCATACTATGGTGGCTAGGTTTTCACCTCACATTAAGGCAGAATGAAATCAAACATATCAGTGGGGGTACCCTCCCAGAATTTGGAGCTGCCTTTAATGAGCATTCAGAAGCTACAGCTGGTATAAAATGCAGTGGACTAGGCTGTCCAGTATCTTCAGGTGAATCCACTGGTTTGGTGGCTGTGTTGGTTGCTAGACAGTTTCCAAGTATGATTCTTGCTGCCTGTTAAGGCCCAATGTAATTCAAGACTTGGTTATCTAAAGGACTGCCGATCCAGCTAGATCAAATAAGGTTAACTCCTTCCAGGACCCAGAGGGCATCTGATGGGCCCTCCAAAGTGAGTGTTTTCGGTACTTACTCCTATTCTATGGAACTCCCTCCTTTGGCCAGCATTGTTCCTTCTTGATTTTAGGAAAGGTGTAAAGGCTTACCTATTCCTCTTTGCACAGGAGGACAGTGTGCTATGATTGAAGGTGGAATTTGCAGGCACATAACTTAAATATCTCCTAATTTCATTTTTTTCTATTTTGTTATTTTCTCTATTTATCTGTCTGCCTATGTAATCCTGAAGAAATATTTTATGTTGAGATTGTTAACCTCCTAAAACTTTTGGGAATGCGTGGCATACAAATAAATAGCCTTGAAAGGGGCTAGCACTTCAAAAATATATAGTACAAAAGCACTGTATACTTTTGGAATAAATTGGGCAGATATTGGAGTTGTTAATTTCCTTGGTAACAGTATGGAAAAGGGCTGTCATTGCCTTACTTCAGGATGTTTTTTCCAACCTTCTGCAACTAATTTCCCAAATGTTTCCCAAGTTTCCCAATATTAACAAGGTCTGGACCTACTATAATGTTTAGATCAAGATTGGCTAAGTACTGTAATCTTGTTGCTCAGTAGAGAGTTAGAATAGCAGATGGCATTGAGCTGTATGGTGGATGGCCAAAGTCAGATTCATTTTCAGACACTACTAAACCATATGTGGGACCTTAGACAGATGATCACATTTCAGCTTAGCTTGTGTCACAGGATTGTTAAAGGGTTAATGGTTACATAATAATGCATAATTTAATATTACATGACTTATCCTGATTAGAAGATGACTTGGGAGTTATTTTCAGAGTAACTATTGCCCTTTCTCTGTCCTTGATATACATGTGTTAGTAGAAATTATTGCATAATTATTGGAAAACAAACCTGAAGGGATTCTGGGACCTACTGATGTCTTGAAAGCGTTATTCATCATTGGTGATGTTGACTAGTCTGGTGAGAACCTCAACAATTCAACAATATTTGGAGGATCACAGATTCCTGATCCTATATTTGAATGTCTCCTATAAGAAACATTCTGGCTTTCATGTGTTCCTGGCCAGTGATTGATTGTTAATTTTCATCTGTAAGGCAGGAGAAAAGGGAATAGACTAGGCCTGAAGTTAATTGCCTTGGTTTATTCATTGATGCTCTTCATTTAGGTTGGCAATAGGACACCAACTTTTGCAAATTGATTTTCTTTTGGAGATTACAGTGCTAGTGTCAAACTCACCTTATGAATACTGTTATAAAATCCCCCTTTTTACGATCTTGTAGTTCCTATAAATACTGTTATTTGTTCTGTTTTTATTGCTCTTTCCATGTTAAATTGGTGGTAATATACAGTATATCTGCAGAGAGAGTACTCTCTTTTCTTAAGAACTGTTAATCTTCTCTATTTCTATGCAAGCAGTATTTCTTTTGTTTTGATGTTGCTGGTGCATTTTTTCTTGGAATTTGTCTGACTTTAACAGAATACTTTTAACTTTTTTTGTCAGAGAATTAGATTGCATGGTATTATGCTAATGCAAGCTTGTTAAAAATATTTGAACTGGGTTCTTTAATTTAATACATTTTTTTCAAACAGGATTAATGGTATTTCCAGAAATGAAATGGCTGGCACACAAAATATAAGTAGATTATTAATCTATATTTTTTAAGATGCTAGCTATGGATTCCTATTTTCTCAAAAGCAGCATCTTCATTTTTGAACTGTTTACACTCGTTTTCATAAGATAATGATTTCCATATAGAAGAAAATGGTGATATTCATTGGCTATCATGTGCTGTAGTGGGAATGCATAGATATTGAGAATCAAGATAGTTTTTCGTGGGTACTTTTACAAAATGGCTATCATGGGGCCTTTTTTTAAAACAGTTGCTATAGTGAAACATTTATTTCCAACATGGTGAACTGATGAAGTTGCTCCCAGGTTGCTCATCACTTTTAGCTTCCACAATGTCCTCTGCCAGTCTACTCAAAGTTATTTGGATCTTATATCGTGAGAATAATAGCATCTTGATATTAATTGTTGAATTGCAGTTATATTTCTGCTATAAAGTTTCTCCTAGTTTGGGGCTGCTTCTCTTCACAATTGGGGTTTTGCTTTTGTTTTAACGTATTTAAGGTTACTTCTGCATATGCCTCAGAATTGGCACAGGCAAATGTTTGTGATGAAAATGAATCAGCATTTATATACTTATCTTAAAAATGCCCTTTTAGGAAGAAACATTATATGTATATATTTTTAATAAACTATAATAATGTTTCGCAAACTGAAGTGCTAACACTAGCCAAGCGTAGGTGGTATATTTTGAGTTTGTGTTTTACAGTTTTTACAGAGTTGTACAAAGTAATCAGAATCCTTGTGCAGATTTTACAGATAGTGGCAAAATTCACTGGGGTTCCCTAGCAGCACTGAGAGGTTTACTGCCTCTATTATTAGAGATAATGGGTAACTCCCCTGGCTACTAATAATTAATAACCTTACTGTCAGCTGCAGTTGTTGAGTCTTTTTTTTAAAGAACAGCTTACCCACTACATCTTTTGGTAGTAATCTTTAAAATTTAACAGTGTGTTTCATGTATCTCAAAACTTTACCCCAGCCCTCTTTTCAGCTTTGCTATATAACTCAGGGTTCTGAAAAAAAACTCCAATATCTTATAGATTTGACAATTAATAAATATGTGGATTAAATGAGGGACTGAAGCAACTTGAGGGAGGAAAGATAAAAAGATTGTAATTATCTATTGAAAAGAAGGTCTGAAGTCACTTATAATTTTACTAACTTTAATTCAGTTTTTATTTTTTTGCACTTTTTTATTTATGTTTTATGCTATTGGAAATTTTCTTAATTTAAAAAGCAAACCATGATTCTGGTTTTTTTATAGGGGAAAAGTACACCTCATTTTTGTCATACTATGTATAATTTTAGAAGCCTCCATATATCCTTTTATTTTTCTAACTAAAAATGTATGCTATAATTCTCATGTAAGAAACAAAAGACTAATCTTTTGGTGAAGTTATTTAACATTGCTGACACTAGAAAATATATTTCAAGCTATTGATCCAAACTTTGCTCTTTATATTGTGCTATATTGCCAAACATGTTCAAATTGTATCTCTCCTGAATGGAGATGAGTGGCTGTTTTGTGACGGATCATGATTTTTTGCAGATGGACACAAGAAAAAGATTTAAAGAAGCAAGACTAATCAAGTGTCTCATGCTGGCAAAATAATTATAAAACAATTGACTATTGCCTGCTAAATCTTTGAGTGGCAAATAGCCAAAATCTTTGGAATCTGATTGAAGATTGCTTTGTAAATAGTTTGCATAAAGTATAGATAATAGCTAGATGACATACAGCTTTAAATCCTGCTGAAGTACTCACTAGTTACCGACAACTGAAATATTTTACTTAATTATGTTTAGTTGTATGTTATTTAAGACGCGTCGAAATCAAGCTTGAAAAAAGGAGATTTTTAAAAAATGTCCTATAAATATAAATAGGTCGGTCTTGTAGTCCTGTTGTGTTTGATTTAGTGGCAAATTATTAAGTAGACATTTTCCACAGAAAGCGGAATGGGTGCAGGTTATTGTGGGGCATGGAATTTCTGAAGTCTAGAGAGGCAGCTAATCCTCAGAAACGTTGGGATAACTGCTATTCTTTCAAAGAAACCTGGAGAGATACCATTTATCATAGTGGTTGAAAACTGACATTGAGAAACTAACATTTAAAAACAAAACACAGAAATCCACAGCAAGGCAGACTCAGTTCAGCTGGTGCCATTGTTAAAATAAGACACTTGGTGATACTAAATGAGGCATGTGACAGATACGAACTAACTCTTGTAACTAATTTATATTATATTTACACCCCACCCCCCATTCTCAGTATAATCCAGTTGCAAAGAAGTTTCAGTAATAAATGGTTGGTTAGTTTTTAAATTCTTGGCATCTTTTTCTTTTTTTTAATAAATAAGAAACACCTCACCCATTGTCATTATAAGGCTTGCATCAACCGCATTGTTATAAAAGCAGGACCACATAAACAACCTTGATAGACAGGTCCACCACTATATTTACACATAGTCCTTCAGGCTGTAGTCTGTGTCCACTTGCCGGGCAGCTAGATGTAGGTTCTGCTGCTCGTTAGGATAAATCCCTGGTCTCTGTTGTTTCTTAAAACAGGAAGTGCCAAAGATGGTACCTGCAGCAAGCAGAAGTCCAGCCGAAATAAATCCAACGTAAACCGCTCCTCCTGGCTCATGCTTACTGCTTTCTGGAATAGTTGGGTCCAGAAATTTGGAAATAATCTCTTTTGTGTACCAGGCTGTTGGTATCAAGCCAGATATTCCTGCCAAAATAAAGAAGACTCCTCCGGCAACTGACGTGTGGTTTTTGGTCTCTCTGTCCCCTCCCAGGAGGGTGCACTTCATCCCCACTGTGGCGATGCAGATCCCAAAAATGGAGAGAATGCAGGACAGAATCATGGTGGTCCTTGCTGCCTGGATGTAAACAGGGAGAGAGAGGATTGAATATTTCAGTGTGCAGCTGAACATCCCGGTGCTGTACCATGTGCAGTCCATCCAGAGCCCTTGCATCTGAGTGATGGCTGTGATTATGTTTGAGCCCGTGTCTGCATTCACCTTCCAGTTGGGCAACAGGGTGGCTGCGATCGCCCCAAAAACACCAAACAAGGCTAGGATGAAAGCAAAAAACTGGAGCGCGGCTGATGCCATGATGAGATTTGCCCTCTCCTTTTGTCTGCTTGTTTCTTTTCTGTTGCTGTAAACCCGTGTTACTGTCTGATGGCTCCCCAGCCAAGGCTGTAGTTATCTGTATGTGATAGGAGGAGGAGAGAGAGTGGCAAGGGCAAAGGCAGGAGAATTGAGCAAACAAGAGTGCTTGCATTTGAAATAACGGCTAACTGAATGACTTGCTAAACGTGACCCTGCAGCAGATGAGAAGGGTACAAAAGGACTGAGCAGATGTACACCGGGCACTTGGAGAGGCGTAATTATAAATGGGTAGTGAGTGAGAGCAACTGAGCACAAGGAGGTGCTGATAATCAGCCACAGTGGCAGAAACTGCAAATGAAATGGTAAGACGTAAAATTGAGGTATGTCCTGTGCCAAAAAAAATCAAGGAAAGATTTGTGCTCTTATTGGCCAGCTTAGAAGCTTCCAATCCATTTTGTAATATAGCATGAGGAAGTTTTCAAAAAATGTAATTCCAGAAGTTATAACTTCTCAATTCTTGCAATGAATACTCAGGCTAGAGTCCAAATAGTCTGTTCCTACTTTCATTCTTTTATATACATATAAATATTAATCACTGATTGTGAACCTGAGCGTTCACAAGGTTGATGCTATAGGTGTCCCAGTAACAGTTTTTAATTAAACACTGATGAACAGCTTTGTTTCTGTAAGTTTTCAAATATTTCTCATTAAATAAAAATTAACAATTCTATAGTTGTTTCAATTTTATTTCAGTTCAGATATTATGGATTTTGAAGAGTAAAAACTGGAAGTCCTGGCAATGGAAAGGGAATGAATTTGTTGTACTTAAGGTTAAGATAGTGTATCAACCATTCCTGTATGATTATTTTTTTTATACTGAACTTATCAATTTAATTAGTTTCACTGCTTTCCATGTCATAATCTTATATCGTCTTCCTTCACTTATTGTCAGTGACTGGATATACTCTGTATTAACAGTGGGTATACTGTGTAGTAACAGTGTTAAAATTGCTTCTGCACGAGAGTATATGCCAACATCACACAAATGTACAAAAATATTAAAATCCCATTTTTAATAATATTTAGATGCCATAAAATGCAGATATCTAATAATAAGTTTCAGTACTTACTGATAAAGGAAAGGTTTAAGATGCTTGCGTGGCAGCAGAAGTTATAATAATAATAATAATAATAATAATAATAATAATAATAATAATAATAATAATAATAATAATAATAGTAAAGTTGGAAGGGACCTTGGAGGTCATCTAGTCCAACCCCCTGCTCGGGCAGGAAACCCTACACCATTTCGGACAAATGGCTGTCCAGTCTCTTCTTAAAAACTTCCAGTGTTGGAGCATTTACTGCTTCTGGAGGCAAGCTGTTCCACTGATTAATTGTTCTCACTGTCAGGAAGTTTCTCCTTAGTTCTAGGTTGCTTCTCTCCTTGATTAGTTTCCACCCATTGCTTCTTGTCCTGCCTTCAGGTGCTTTGGAGAATAGCTTAATTCCCTCTTCTTTATGGCAGCCCCTGAGATATTGGAACACTGCTATCATGTCCCCCCTTGTCCTTCTCTTCGTTAAAGTTGTAAGTTGTAAAAACACAACTTATTTTGAGTGTAAATGTCTCTGTTCCTCATGGAAAGTTGCATTGGCTATTTTATTAACCAGAAATAGGTCCCTGGTGCTCTATACGCAGCAGTGCTTCCTATTCCTTGTCTTAGTACCATCTACCAGAATATAAAGAGCTACTTTGTTTAATGAATCTGCATTGGAGAAAATACTTTGCTTAACAAAAGCAAAAAAGATTATAGAGAAAAGGGGTGTAAACCCTTGATTTTAAGCATATAATGATTTCCAGATCCCAAGCTGAATAATTGGCTTGGAGATTAGAACAAATATTTTAATGGAAAAAAAATTGTCCCAATTTTACTTTTAGAAACTGTTTTCGCTACAGCAGGGGTCCCCAACCCCCAGTCCGTGGACGAGTACCAAGCTGCGGCATGCCAGCAACTGGCCTACACAAACAAGCAAAGGCCCATCCATGGGATGCAAGCAGCACACAAAACCACACATCCTCCGGTCCACAGAAAAATCTCTCTTCACAGAACCGGTCCCTGGTGCCAAAAAAAAGGTTGGGGACCTCTGCGCTACAGTATAGAAAATAATAACTTTATAGAATGAGCTTCAACATAAGTGAAAGGCAGAATTAAAATGTTTTATATTGCCAGTCAGTTTCAGAATCCCAGAATTGCACAGCAAGATATAAATGCCTCTAAGTAATCATTGTGAGAAATATACGTACGTACATACATATGTATGTAGGTCTTTGGTTGTTCGGGTTTTCTCCCGCGTAAAATTGGAAGTGTCTTGGCGACGTTTCGATGAAGTCCCATTCGTCATCTTCAGGCTGGTGTTTTCAGCTTCGTGCTTCGAGCAGCAAGCTGAAGCACGAAGCTGAAAACACCAGCCTGAAGATGACGAATGGGACTTCGTCGAAACGTCGCCAAGACACTTCCAATTTTACGCGGGAGAAAACCCGAACAACCAAAGACCTACATACAAACACCCGCGAAAACCTCAGAAAACATACATATGTATGTACATATATACATACATACATCTATATGTGGCTGAGTTTCACATACCTGCTGCTTGTAGCTTGCAATCTTTTCTAGTTGTTTCTGTACAGTACCGTAATTATTTACCTTACTCTAAAGGTTAAGTGGGAAAAAGCAGTATATGCAGCTTATATGATAAATACAGAGCATAGCTGTAAAAGTTTTGACAAGTCAACAAGAAAAACTCTAAAGCAAAAAAATGTCAAGGGAAATCTGCTAATTATGCAATATGATAAATAGGAGCTTCCCTTATTGTCTGGCCTTTTCTGTCTGGGAAAATGGAAATCGCTGATTTGTGATCCAGTGGAGATAGTAAATCAGGTTCTGTCCAGGTGTTTTGGCTTATAAGTGTCATCAGCCCCACTAAAAATGATTGAGGAGGGTGCTATTGTTCCAAACATCTGGTGGGCATGTGATTATTTCCCTTTGTAACAAGTGAGCATTGACAGCAACATAGTGGTAACTGTGGTTTCATTAATCTTCAAGTAACGGGGATTCAAGATTTGCTTTTGCATAAAGTCTCCATACTGTTATTGAAAATTGTACTTTTAAACCTGATTGCCTACGAATTCTGAACAAGCCAAATAGTTGTTGACATTGGCCTGTCTTGGGATAGATCTTGGGTCAGGTTTATTATTATATAATAGAAGCCATAACATGACTGCTTGGCAGTACTTTTCAAACTCATAATAACTCTTAAGGATGGTTTCCTGTCCTTCTCTAAGTAAAAAAATAAGGAGCAGCTCATTCTTGAGATTGTCTTTGCATTGTTATAGCTCAGAGGTTTAATATAATTGGCAAATTGGTAATCCTAAAAGAATTCTCTGGAAGCAGATCTAATTGAACTGGATAGGACTTAACTCGTACTTAGTTTAAATTTAAAAAATTTAAAAATTTAAAAAAATATATAATTTCATAGAATTGAAGTATTTTATGTTTTTTTTAAATTAAGGTCACTGATCAGAATTCTGCACATTAACAAATTAAACAATTTTTACTTCAAACAAAATACAAAGGTAAAACCGTAAATCTGTCACTGAGGTGATCAAAATATAATGAGGTTTATAGCCAGTACAGATAGTTCTTATTTAGCTACTTCAACTGGCATTGGCAGCTTGGTCATTAATCAAAGTAGTTGCTAAGTGAAATTGCAACTGCATATTGTCAGGCCTGCAAAGGTTGTAGATATGAGGATTGGTCATACCTTCTTTTTCATTACCATTGTAACTATGAATGGTTGCTAAATAAGGCAGTTGCCAATTGTAGTAAAATCATATACAGACAGTATAAAAAAAGTTTTGCCACATTCAGCGATGACATTCAGTGTCAAAAAGCTCAAAGGCATAGCCATGCATAATGTCAGTTAGCCTGGGTATTTCACAAAGTAGATCACAACCTGCTGCTTAGTAAGCTAGAAAAAAGTGGTATAGACAACATCACCACCAGATGGATTTGTAGCTGGCTGACAAATCGTACTTAACAAGTAGTCCTCAATGATACTACATCCACATGGAAAGAAGTAAGCAGTGAGGTACCACAAGACTCCGTCTTAGGCCCAGTACTCTTCAATATCTTCGTTAATGACTTAGATGAGGGAATAGAAGGGGAACTCATCAAATTTGCAGATGACACTAAACCAGCAGGAATAGCCTGCTCAGGATCCAAAAAGATCCTGACAAACTTGAACAATGGGCCCTATCCAACAAAATGAATTTTAATGTAGAGAAAAGCAAAGTTTTACCTTTAGGCAGGAAAAATCAAAGGTCGAAGTACCTGGCTCAAAAACAGTAACTGTGAAAGGGACCTTGGAGTCCTAATGGACGACCACTTGACTATGAGCCAGCAGTGTGCAGCAGCAACCAGAAAAGCTAATACAGTCCTGGGTTTTATAAACAGAGGCGTAGAATCAAGATCACACAAAGTATTAGTACCACTTTATAAAACCATAGTAAGACCACACCTGGAATATTGCAACCAGTTTTGGTCAAAAAAGATATTGAGACTTTGGAAAAACTTCAGAGAAGAGCAACTAAGATGATCAACGGCCTGGAAACTAAAACATATGAAGAATGGCTGCAGGACTTGAGTTTGGCTAGTCTAAAGAAAAGAAGAAATAGGGGGGACATGATAGCAGTATTCCAATATTTGAGAGGCTGCCATAAAGAGGAGGGGGGTCAACTAATTTTCCAAAGCACCAGAGGGCAGGAGAAGAAACAATGGTTGGAAACTAATCAAAGAGAAAAGCAACCTGAAATTAAGGAGAAATTTCCTAACAGTGAGGACAATGAACCAGTGGAATATCTTGCTTTCAGAAATCGTGGGTGTTCCATCACTGGAGATTTTTAAGAAAAGACTAGACAGTCACTTGTCTGAAATGGTTTAGGTTCTCCTGCTTGAGCAAGGGGCTGGACTAGAAGACCTCCAAGGTCCCTTCCAGCTCTATTCTATTCAAACCTAATGGGGAGTTATAAAATGGGTCCTTGAATCCTTATAAAAGGTGCAATAAAACAACACACGGACTCTAGATTCAGTCAGTCTTTCATCATAAGGGCACAATCTTAGCTGCTGGAAGGACATTAAAACATGCTAAAATTAGTACTTTTCAAAGTTTGAGCATAAATATCTTGTCATCTAAGAAAGAAGCTTAACTATTCAAAAATATATTCCTGAGTAGGGCAAGTTGATCCAATTGATCTTCTAAATCTTGCGGATTGAGAGTAGTTATCACTTAGTCACATCCCATGATCAAAATAACTTCTTTTAAGAACCAGTGTTGCAAGAATGTTCTTTTCCATGTTGATTCATAATTGTTTAACATAATCACGAGAACTTACAGCTTCTGGGAGAAACCATTAAGTTTACCCAGTGGACTATAATACAGAACTGTACATCCATTTTCACTTTAATCAGATCAGCCTTCCTCCCCAGTACCACATTAGTTATTTAACTTTGAATAAATATTCCTAGGACTTAAGCATTTGGCGTTACAGTATTGAGATGGCTTACTCTTCTATCTCTGATCCCTCTTTGCCATTCAACATGTCCCTGAGGAGGAATTGTGAATGTCAAAATTTCCCAGTTCCACAAGGAGCCTGGTAAAAAGTTGAGAGGAAAAACTATATAGCACATTTTCTTATTGTCTCCGATTTCAGAGGTAGATATCTGAAAAAGCCAACATCAAGTAACAATATGGGGAGGATTAAAACTGGCGAATTAAAATCCCTACTTGATGCTAAAATTCCATTTTACTCATAAGGCACTCACCCTAGGGAAAGCTCTCCATATCTTGGGTTCTATATTCCTGTAGTAAATTGTAAATTCATCTTCTGCCAGCTGTAATAACCATAATATTTAACCCAAAACCAGACTTAAAGATGAAAAATGTTTTAGTTTCTGTTTAACTTCATTAAACTTTAATATATAATGAAACTAGGAACTAATATAAGTTTCAACAGTGCTTAAAGCTAAAGGTAAGAGTGTAACGGCTTTGATAATTGACTTATATGTTATTCTATGTATTATTATGAAAGAAATGATTCCTGCCACAGGAAGTTATTAATTTTAAACTATCAGTCCTAAGGGAGATGATAAAAAGGAGAAGCTGAGGAGCAGAATCCAATGGAGG